ATTTTGCTGAAAACAATACTGCTGCTGCTAGAAACAATGCTGATGAGAGCAGTGAGAGTGAATTAAAACATCAGTAGAGATGGCAAAAAATTTGTGTCAGTGATCTTTAATTTACCCAAAATGCACATATTCTTTGGTATTTTTGCAGCAAATGTCCATTAGCTGCACAAGTTCTATCTGCATGTCAGTCTGTTTTTGCTCTTTACTTAGTAATGGGTTTTATTTATTTATTTTATCACTCACATGCGAGGCTCTGTGAACTCTCAGTTTGACATGCTCATCCAACCAAAGCCATTTTATCAAATAATGAGCAGAATTGTTACATTTGTCGAGCAGAGGAACACAATTTGAATGTAGTGTGATTAGCTGAGGGTGGCAATTTTGCAAGCAGCCCACTGGCCACTAAATGGTAATTTGCCCTGACCAACTGGAAATCCCTTAATTCAGAATAAATATAACTGCAAGTGTATCAAACTGTTTGGATAGTGCTAACATATGAGGAACCTGCAGCAGTTATACCTGCACGAATGTTAATGACAGGCGCTACCAAAGAGAGAGTGTGCTGCATGTGAGTTTTATATTCTAAAATATGTTGGGTAATCATGTCTTAACATCCTGCTTGAAAATGTTTCACGCGTTGAAATGTTTTCATCCAGTGGTCTGTTTGAATACCTCGCGAAATCACAGCATGAGGCCGCTGTAAAAGCTGCCTGTGTTAAACCCCCCGTACAAACAAAGTATCGCTCTGCCTTTGATCCAGAAGGACCTTGCACTCTGTCTCCCCACGGTCCTGTGCGGTCAAGGAGGCAGAGAAGTGGCTCGGAGGGACAGGCTGCATTAAAGAGAAGCACAAGAAGGAGGAAGCCCCATTCTCTCACTCCATCACACGTCTGATCTCTTTAGTCGTCTGGCTGGGGCCTAAAGTGACTTTGCTTTGATGTGACCAGGACAAACCGGGTGTGATGCCATGACGGCCCTGTTAAGTGTGTGAACTTGTGTGTTTTTTAGTTCTTGCATGTGTTTGTGTATTTTGGGGCAGGGGCAGGATATGTGTGTGTGTGTGTGTGTGTGTGTGTGTGTGTGTGTTATGAGGGGAACAGGGCTGTTGATCATGTGTGGTTTTGTATGAGGGAAGGGGGGAGTTAAGGAGGACATTCACTTTTGATTTGGCCTCAGAAGGGTGACAGGGACTTGGAGCTCTGGTGGCATGCTCTACTGAAACAATCGACTCTGACCACAAATAAGCGCTCACAGACTGTCAACCTGCCTCCTGATGACTTTTTCCTTGCTTTTTTTTGCAGGGAAATTTCATAGAGGGATGAAAAGCTTTTTTTCTGCTCTGTGACATCCTGAAAGCAGGCTTTAGTTTCTGTAGCCTTGGTGAGACTACTAATGCTTTGGATGACACACAAAAGTCTCTGCCACTCTCTCTTTACTTGATTGTCTGACAAGTTCATTTTATCTTACTCTCCCATCTTGTGTCAAGTGTGTATTTGGGAAAAAAAAAAAAAGTGTGCTATAAATCAAGGCTGTACTCGCATTGTAGAGGGAGCGGGGGTTTGGATCCTGTTGATGGTCTAAGCTCATGGGGAAAGATGGAGTAGCTCTCTGAGGAAATGAAAAGCCAGAATGAACACTGGAGAGGTTTTTGTGGGTGTTTATGTGCTGTAGTAGGGGTAGCGTTGGGAATGGTTCCTCTGAAAAAGGGGTCTTTGACAGGAGGGATTTGGACATGCTGAAATTAAACAAGCCAATTAGGCAAGCACAGAGTTTAGAGGTCAAAGCGCACTCCATTAAAGTTCCTCTTCTCTGCCTAACTACTAACTCAGTATGTATCTGAGTCTGTTGAAGCAATAAATCTGATTAGACCTCTCCCTTTCTTTGTCTCTTTCTCTCTCCTTTTCTGTTGTTTTACCCTCCACTGAACATTGTTTTTGTTAAATTTGAGGCACCATTTAACATGTCTTTGGGTGCAATCCTAGCCACACACTCACGCCACATACACACAAACGTACACTCTAATGCTCCCTTAGAAACGTGGCCTCCTGCATCGGAGTGCAGTACCGCACTGACATTATCATTAGCTCTTTGGACACGCATTACCACAGAGAATGAAAAGTTGCGCTAATGAACTTTAGTCCCAGTTAAAAGACTTACTCTATTCCCTCACACTGGATTATTTGAAATTCTAAACAATACCAAAATTGTCAAGGTTTGCGCTTTACTGCATAACAGGGTTGTATGAAAAAAAAAGGAATTCTTCTCACATACTTGTCCATTATTTGTCCAGATTTTGTTATCCCTTAGAGATTTCTGCCTCCACCCCAATACAATAGAGGGGAATGCAATGTTTTTTGGTACTACTTTCCAAAAAACATCCAAGAAAGAGTCCCTGAAAACTATTGACAGTTTGTGCTGTCAATTATCTTGAGTAATTAGGACTGGAAAGAAATTTATTTTTTTAATATAAATGTTCAATGCCATGAGCACCACAAATTAAATTCGATTCCCCTCCATCATATTGGAGCAGAGTCAGAAATCTCAGAGACAAATTTCTCTTTAAATTCATCCACTCTGCTGCTGAGTAAATAGTTGTTATTATCAGTAGCATGTTGTGTGTTTGCTTGAGTGCTTGTTATTGTTGTTACTCATTCATCCTGGGACTTCAAAAACTGGCAACATATAGCCTAGTAGATTGACATGGAGAGCTGTGGGAGCCTGACCCATGCAACATTTGAGCAATGGCAGCCTTGTTCCAGCTGTTGATTTGGTTTAGCTGGCTTTCTGTCACTGATTCATCTGAGCTGCCGATAGATACGTTTCATATGGGGGCTGCTAACCTGCGTGTGCTGCACAGTGACCCAGGAAAAAACAAGGAATAGCAGGGTATTGAGCTTTTTCTCAGAGAATAAATGACTTCTTCTGTGTTTTATGTGGCTTTGAGTGGGAGCTTATACTGTAGAACAGGCCAGACAATTAAATGTGCCTGTGGCCCTGGGTGAAGAAGAGCAGAGAGAGGAGGAGGTGAGCTGCTGTGTCTTTAAAGCCGCTCGGTTTGTCTCCAAAGGTGAGAGGTGAAGACTCTCAATACCTCTATCAGGGCAACACAGAAAGGAAAGAATATCTCAAGGTTAGACTGCCATTATATTTTTTTCTTAGAAATGTGTGAGCTGTAGGATAAAAACATGCGTGGAAACTTGCCTTTTGAGACTCTGTCCCTCCTCTTCCTCCTCACAATTCTTTATTTCTATGACTTAAAGAAACGTCAGCCAAAGTGAACACTTGTGAGGTAACCATGAATTGATCAGACCCAGGCAGTTATTTATTTATTTTCTATTGAGAAAGAAAAGCTTCAGCAGTTGTCTCCATCAGTTCATCCGCTCGTCCACTGCTGTTCTTAGGAGGTGTGTTTGTCCAAGTGGACGTGGGAGACACTGTGGATTTATCTGATCTTACAAGCCATCAGGTTGAGCAGAGCTTTGCTAAACATGACCTGAAGTGTGCCGGCCCCCGAGCAAACGCTGCTGTCACCTTGGCCAACCCGAGCTGTCATCTCTCAGAATGGACCACGAGATCTGACAGCTGTGGCGTTCCCAAAACAAATCACTGCTGCGTTTGGTAACACTCTGCGTCCCCGCGATTTAGCCCTCACCAAGACGAGAGCGGGAGCGGCGGCTGCTAATGTTCTGTCTAATGCACTGCCTGCGTGTGTGTGAGTGTGTTCGTCTTCTTCTTTCACCCCGCACCCGTGTGTATGTTTTTGTTTGCAAGGGCTTATGTGTTTTCTCTTTGTTTTTTCACCACCTCGCTGAGTGGTTCAAAATAGCGATCTTCCTTCGTGTCCTTGTATTCTGCTCTCTCTGTGGCCTTAACCACCAAAATGCCTCTTGTATGTCGTCTAACTAGTACAGAGAAAAAAACACAGGCAATAATCTTTAGTCCAGGAAAAAAATTCACATCTTAGATCAGTATTTGTGAGCCCAAAGTTAAGAATCTTTATAGGATAAAATATTGTAAAAGTTGAAATCTTGAGCTTTCCTGAGGCTTTTATTTTGTAAGATTAACAATACAATATGCCAGTAAGCCTGTCACACTATCCTGTCAATGAATATTGAAAAGTTGGATCTTCATTCACTGACAGTTGAGCAGCTTCACAAATTGTCATTAAGAGTCTTTTCTCTGTAGTCTTCAGAAAAACTTTGTCTTCACAACCTAGACTGAACTGTGCAAGATCAGAAACACTGAGGTGAAGGTTCAAGAGGTGAATTTCCGTCTTAACTAGGCAGTTGATTGAATATTCACAGTCGAAGGAGAGATGGGGGAAAAAAAATAACAAGGAACTGAGGCTGTGTTTATTGATAAATTTAATGGTAAAGTGGTTTGTTCTAAATGAGGTGTTTTTCTCCCTCTCAACTGTTTTGTGAAAGTGTCATGCTTTTAAACTGACATTTTTAATGAGCTTACGCACACACTCTCTCTCTCTCTCGCAGACACACACTCCCACGCGCACACACACAAATGAACCTGTCAGAGGTTTAAACACAGAGATTTTTGACTATTTGTTACTGGGCTGTTTTTAGACATCAAACTACGACAGTTGAGATGTGGTTTCTATTGATGTCATTGTTTTTATGTCACAGTCATTACTGAGATATCCTTACCCTGGCTCGTCTTTTAAAGGACTGCTTCAGCTAAATTTGCTTATTTTTACCCCCTCACATGAAAATGATACCAACATTGTGAGCAAAGGGTTTGAGCATAGCTACGGCCATCAAACATGTTTATGGACTTAAAGGAGAAATGCTTGAATGTGATGATCTTGTTTTCTTTCAGAGAAATTTACAAAATTGCTTAAATATCCTTGCTCCTACACTGTATCATTTCTGCTGCCGCGCAATCGTATTCCCATACTGTACATTTAATGGTACAATATACTATTATGAAATTTCATGATGTTACATCTGTAGTTAATGTCATGCCTATCTTCTGTCGTTTCCCAGCAGATGTTTGGAGGAGAGGCTTTTGTTCAGCTACACAGATGAACAACAGGAAGGAGGACATGGAGATCGCCTCTCACTACCGTCAGCTCCTCAGAGAGCTCAATGAGCAGAGGCAGCACGGCATCCTCTGTGATGCCTGTGTCATCGTGGATGGAAAGATCTTCAAGGCCCATAAGAATGTCCTCCTGGGCTCCTCACGCTACTTCAAGACTCTTTACTGCCAGGTAAGGGACTGCTACACGGTTCAAGGGAGATCGTGAAGCACTTGTTTTTCTCTCATATCCTAGTAGTTTTGTTCTGTGTGTTTTCCAGTTGTGAAAGCGATGTCAGAACTTGTGTTATCCTGCATGAGATAAATAAACAAGAATACACTGTTGTATTCTTTCACCCTTCAGGTTAAAAAGGGGGCAGAGCCTCACCACCAGACTACTGTCACTCACCTAGACATTGTCACAGCGACGGGCTTTAAAGCCATTCTGGACTTCATGTACTCAGCACACCTCGCCCTCACCAGTAAGAACGTGATCGAGGTCATGTCAGCCGCCAGCTACCTGCAGATGACAGACATTGTACAGGCCTGCCACAGCTTCATCAAGGCGGCACTAGACATTAGCATCCGCTCTGAGATGGCTGACGAACTGGCCGACTTTGAGATGGGAGCTGTCGCTGCTGCTGGCATAGGCGGAGGAGGTGGAGGAGGAGTGGGTATAGCAGGACCAGGGGGTGTTGTGGGAGCGGGTTTAGGAGGAGGAGGAGGGGGAGGGATAGTGGGTATGGCTTCTGAAGCCCTGGCCTCCATCATGTCTGGTCGCAGCACCTCCCCTTGGCTGGCACGCCGCACCAGCCCGGCCAACTCTTCTGGGGACTCTGCCATTGCCAGCTGCCACGAGGGAGGCAGCACGTATGGCAAGGAGGACCAAGAACCCCCCAAGAGCCACGAGAGCCAGGAGGAAGCCTGCCATGACTCCCAGCCCTCCTGGCCACACGACTACAGGCCTGTCATTGTCAAAGAGGAACAGGTGTCCCCTGCCTCCTCCTCTCATCCCCGGGACACTCCCAGAGGGGCAGCCCAGAGCCAGGGGGAACAAGGGGCTGGAGGGGCTGCTGGAGGAGGTGGAGAGGGTCCCTGGCAACCCCTGTCAGGGTCAGGGCGGAGGAAGAACAGGAAGAACAAGGACACGGTCAGACATATTACCCAGCAGGCTGAGAGGAACTGGGATAGAGAGCGGGACAGGGAGAGAGACAGGGACAGTAGGCCTGGATCTCCCCTGCCCTCCATGCTGGCTGTGGCTGGATGGAACTACAACGGACAGGAAATCCCAGGTATGACTGAAAAACCTGCTTCTTATAGTGTTTTCTGTCTCCTGTCTTTGGAAAGAGCTACTGCATATTTTTCTTGTGACGCAGACAAAACTGACAGTGCAGTCGATTTGGGTAATCTCACAGCAATGGTGAAAGCAAGCCAAGTCTTTTAAAGTCTGAATACTGGTTTTTAGAGTGGATTTGTTGGTTAGATTATTAGTTTAGTTTCACAACAACAGGTTCTCAAAATTATATGGATGGACGCAGGCCAAAATAAGCAGACCTGCACACGACTCTGCAGTGCTTCTTTGGTGACTTTGAGGCTCTAGAGTCCCCCAGAGTTGCTGCAGTTTTGTATTGTTGGCACCTTCTTAGTTATCCTGTGAGTAATTAGTGAGTAAGATTAGATTAGTTAATTAGGTAACTAGAATCTAATTTGTCTGTGCTTTCAAACCAAGAGATCAGACTGCTTTGTTGCAGTGTGCATGACACTTTACAGTACATATGCTCTTAAGTCTTTGAATCCTGCTTGGATATTTCTATGCGTGTCAGCTAAGCGCACAGTTTACTAGTGTAAAATGACCTCTTTTCCTCCTCCGGGGTGGAGATTAGCGAGCTTCTACACTAATGTGTTAGGCCTAAGATGATTATCTCAAATCTTGGAGGTGTGAGGTGAAGCCTGGGTAAATGCAGGTGGATAATAAAATCCTCTTCTTACTGAAGTTTATGTAACTCTCACTCCCACATAAACAACAAAATGAAAAACACAAACACACTCAAGCACATATATTTATTTTGAGAAAGAATCTCTTGATCCTCAGCCATGCCAAATTGTTTAGCAAATTCCTTTACACTCAAAACTTATACATGGAAAACACTTAACTGTGTGTGTTTGCGTGTGTGCAAACGCACTGGTAGGCCCAAGGCGTCGATAGGTAGATCATTAAAAGTAAGAGAAGCTAATCCTGGGTGCATTAAGGGAGTTGGCTGCGAAATGGGCACACACGTCGCGCAGCGAAAGAAAACAGGATAATTGAATTGACCTGGGTCACTGCACGGATTACCAGTGCGCCCTCGCCATCACAGGCTCCTCCCCCTTCTCTCTCTCTGGGGTTTAGGGAGAGGTAGATGAGAGGGGGTAATGCAAAAGAGAAGAAAAACAGAGACAAAAAAAGAAAGGCGGAGAAGACAGACCATCAAGCTTATGAGGGTTTGTCTGCTTAGCTCCAAGTGTCTTAAGTCCCAGATTTTCTGACCTGCAGTCTGACCTTATTATGTTGCGCAAGGACATCTTGTGTTGAGCTTCAGAGTCACACACATGTACTACCGCATACACTTACAATGTAAATGGCACTATTAAGCCTGTTGGCCAGTTCTATGGTTTTGTACTGTGGTGGAAGGTAGAGTTTTAGTTTGGCTGAGGTGAAGCAGCCATTACCAAGAGGGTGTTTTCTCACTGCAAGGTTAGAGGAAGTCTAGTGTTGCTGCTGGTGTAGGCTCACCTGAAGTTAGCCAAAAGACATCCATTTATCCCCACTTTCAACTGGGTTTCGGGACTGGGCTCACAATGAAGAAGCACGGGGTATGGGGGGAACAAGAGTCTTTGTATCATGAGGTCATCAACTATTTGGGTCTCCTTCAGAGGGTTGACCTTGTCATTTAGCAGTAAAATATCATGTTACCAGTGGGCTTACATGACGTTTGTTTATGACAACCAGGATATGTTTCACTATTGTGTGTTGAGTCAGTGGTTCCTGTGTGTTTAACGGCGGTATGGGGGATTGTTGAACAGGTTTAGTGAAGTCATAAATGGAGTCTGAACATGGGAGTGGTGTAATGATTTGGTTGTGATTGTGATGCCAATAAGTTCTTACAATGAAAGATTTTTAAGACAGGCTCAAAAGTACACCTGATCTCTGGGGGCTTCTGAGGTTTTGTCTACTTAAGTCTTAAGTCTCCTTAAGTCTGGATTTTGTCACCTGCAGTAGAAGATCCAAATTACGGGCATATGGAAGAACCAAGGGATTAAAATAAAAAGTAGGAAATAGGCATTATTATGCCTAATTCTATTGAACATTTATATATATATATAAAATGTCCAAAGGCTGCGGTTGTTGGATTATCCCTCCCAATAGCAGGCCCACACTGCACTGTTTTGATGATGTATGCCAATTAATAAGCCTAACGATGGCTCTGCTAATGGTGGTCCTGTTCCATTAAGTGTCCCAGTAAGCCATGACAGTAATACTGCAGGCTCAACAATACCAGGACCCTGAATGTGACACACCTAAATGGAATGCAGCCATTACTCTATTAAACGCACAGGATGTCATTTCTGCCGCTGGGGGTCTCTCACACCAAAACAATAACAAAAGAGTAGTTTGATGACGGCGTGAAGTAGCGTGGGATCATGGGAGTTGTTCATGTCTTCACTGTTAATAAACAACCACCATAGCAGGTGAAAATCTATCTGATGTGATTCAGGCATGTCACGTGCCTGAGTCACATGCATGTTCACGGGCGAGGTGGCGCGTTAAAATTTTATTCGCATCACGTTTAGTCACGTTCGCAGACTTCCTTCCCCGCTCTCTGACGTGTCCTGTACTTCCCAGGAAGTAATAGCAACCAGAGTGGGTAAAGGGGATATGATGGCGTGAAATTCAGCGAATAAAATGCCGGATTTCTCTGGGTTTGAACATTGTTGAAAACATTCAGGATAATATAGTTGATTACATAACTGATCATTTGTAGGTCAACAGATTAGGGTTAGTTTTACTATTAAGGTCAATTTTAGCATTTGGGAAGCAGGATTACTGAAGTTAAACATGAAAGAACAAACATAGTGTTACTGCGTGTGCGTGTGTGTGTGTGTATGTGTGGTGGGGATGTTGTTCCATGAAGTCCAGTTGTTGCTTTGCATGAAGGAATACAGTAGGCATAAAGGAGAGAGGGCACCTTCAGTCTGAGATGAGTTTAATTGCTTCATTCTTTATTGATGAGAAGTGCGCTCTCTCTCTCTCTCTCTCTCTCTCTCTCTCTCTCTCTCTCCTCTCTCTCTCTCTCTCTCTCTCTCTCTCTCTCTCTCTCTCTCTCTCATATTTTCATTCATCTGTGATCGGTGGCCATGCTTTACTATTAGAAACGCTTATATTACATACAACACAGGGGCTGCTTGACTGAGGATTTTGCTGGATTATTCAGTAATATAAGGATAATATATGGCTGTGTAAAGGCTCAGCGTATTAGCGCAGAGCCGTTTCAAAGAGCTTGTATGAAAATGCTGTGTGCCTGTGTTGACATAAACAGCTGCAGGAATCAGGATTTGTTTTCTTTACATCCCCTTCCCTTGCAAACATCTGCTGTGTTCACTTGATGTCATTATTGAGGCCACTAAGCACTCAACTTCCTCTTCTGTCTCTTGCTAACGCTTGATCTCACTCTTTCTTTCCGCTCACCTTGTCTGCTGACACAAATATTTTAAATCTCACGTGTGAATTAGGAAAGAGAAATCAGCACCGCTTGCATTCCAGTCATTTGATCGTGTGTGTATATTTTTTCTGGCACAATAGTATATTAGAGGTGACAATTTTTCAGGAGGGGAGTTTTAAATAGTCTCTTCTTCTCCCGCCTGCTTATGTCGTAAACCTTGAAATAATTACCTGGAATTATTTTTAGTTCCCCCCCCCCCCGCTGCTTCTTCCAGACCTGGATTAAAAAGCGTCTGCAAATCAAAGACAAGAGTTTTTTGAAAATCAAGCATCAAGCTTTTTAAAATAATTCACTATATTCTTCTTTGATGCCTCATATCAGCCTTTCCTCTTGTCATCCATGTGGTGCCGAAACAATGAGTCGATCAGTCAATTAGATGAAAATGAGCGGTCAATTCATTTATCAATTATCAAGCAAAAACGGCAAACATTTGCCCAGTTCCAGCTTCTCAAATGTGAGGATGGGCTGCTTTTTTCTGTTTTGTTTGATTGTAAATTGCAGATTCTTTTGGTCTGTTGAAAGTACAAAACAAGTTTTAGAAACTTGAGATTGTTCACAAATTTCTGATGTTTTTCGGTAAAAGTCAATGCTATTACCGTATTTATTTTATTAAATTAGGTATCACCTCTTCAAAAGATATGCTGTTTTGGAGGCAGAACCCGTTCGCTCTGTGGCACCTTCACTCTCAGATTGCTGAGAAGCCTGAGCTGGTAAAAACACAAGATAACGATTGACTGCTTCTTTTATACTTGGGGCAAACAACAATTTGATCTTTATCCCACATAATAACAGAACTGGAAATATTTTTTGTTTGTTTTTTTCGCTGGTATTAGAAAAAGAAACACAGACACACATGGTGACCTTTAGTGGCAGCTTGGGGGATTTTGGCAATCCGGTACATGGCCAGTATGATGTACACACTGTCACACACACACACGTACACACAGCTTAGAGCATCTGATTATGTAGACGTGAACAGTTCAATCACACGTGGGCTGTTCTTTCCATTTCCCTCTAGCTGTTGCACATTGATTACATCGAGAATCTTTTTAGAAATCCAACATCTTTATCTGACTCTATTCCTCGCCTCTCTGTGGCCTCAGAGTTTCCCTCCTCAACCACCAATACACACACACACTCACTTACACACACTTACACATGCCCACAGAGAGATACAAAAAAGTGAAATCATTTTTCCATAGAACCTCTTCCTGTTTATTCCTGCGAGCTCGGGAGCGGTACAGTTAGCCCTGCATGTTTTGGCTTGTTTGAGTTCAGACCTTCATCCTCTGGCCCTCCGGAGCCTCCTGGACTCACCTGGGGCCCTCAGACAGGCGCTGCCAGAAATGCCCTCTAGTTTGCACTTCCGCATAAACTTTCTCTCTCTTTTTTTTCTCTTTTCCTCTCTCTCTCTTTCGCTCCCTGCGCTCCCCTCCCCAAGTCTCGGCAGTCTAAAGGTGAACACTTGAAATAATGAATCGGATCCCCCTTTCGCCCCCTTCCTCTCTGTATTCCAGTTAAGACTCTCCCCA